CGAACAAAAAAAGAGACAGTAGTGTAAAACTTCACAGTGATAGCAGTCTTCAGATAATTTAAATTATTTCAAACTGGCCCAAACTCTCAGAGTCTCATCAATCGGAAAACAAAAACATAAACAAAAACAAAAAACAATAAAAAACAAGCCTAGGTGGGGTCCATTCAGAATATACTTAGTATTCACTCAAAAAGCGCTTGTTGAGCTGTGATGCAGCTCAGTTGTAGAGTTGCCTAGCATGTGCAAAGCCTTGAGTTCAATCCCTAGTACTATACAAGAGAAAGAGAGAGAGAGTGTGAGGGACCAAAGGAGGGAGAAAGGGAAAGAGGGAGAGAAAGATCAAGGGAGGAAAGGGAAGGTAAAAGTGTTGCTGAATGAAAGGGAAATATATCAATCTTATTATGCCAATATCTTTGTCTCATGGCAAAGGATATGACTTCACTGTAGTTTTAGGAATAGATGTTAAATGAGAATGCGAATGATACAGAGAGAAAAGTTGGTACCAGTAGAAAGTCCTTTGAGTGTCAGAACCCCAACAGAGCTGTGTCTTTAATTGCCAAAGTTTCACAACCAACCACAGGGTCATGACTAAATAGCCTGTGCCGTCCTACAGCCATGACTGTTTGACTCTTAAATTGATTCTTCACCATATAGCTGAGAGGAAAAGGGATTCAAAAGGATTGCAGGCCTTTGGGGAAAATGTATTTGTACATTCCTTTTAATAACTTGTGTTTTACTGCCTTACATACCCATCTGAGAATTTGAATTTCTTGTACCATTATTAAGTCAAATTCTTCATTTACTATTGAAAGCTTAGGAGGGAGTACAAAAAGAACGCATCTCTTTAAATTTCTTTGCATTTCCAGCCATTACAGCTTTTCTAGACATACAAAAGGTGTGTGTGTGTGTGCGTGTGTTGTGGTATACTTACAAGAGGAAAAAAAACTCAAGCTTCAGATACCTTATCATTGTAAAAATGTTAATGTAGTGAAATTGAGCAAAAGTAGGTTTCTAAAGTGGTACATCAAAGATGTGAAATGCCTATGAACAATTTTCAGGTACTTTGAAGGGGACAGTGAATAGAGTCTTGAAGGTAGAAGTATTTTCTTGAATCATAAACAGAATTTTGTGAAGTAACCTATGAAATAGTTTTATTAGGATTCAGTTACAATTGAGGAACTAGTTGAATAAAGGTCCTGATGCATTGCATCAGAATTAGAAAAAATTCTTCAGGCTGACCGACACTCATTTGAGATGTGATAGAAATACACCGTGAATGTTTAATTTTTTTAAAAAATGACAGTAAAAGACACATTACTATTAAAGTCTCTCAAAATATTCCCTCTTACTTTGAACACACTTATCCCATCACTCTTGGCACTTTCTGAAGCAGTTCTGGAAGTCCTCTTTTGTGAGTGTCTTTACAAGATGTGATAAAAATATAGTGAATACTGCTGCTGACTGATATCCAATTTAAAGGCAGGCTCTTAAAAACATTGTAGTGTATTGTCATCCACGTTATTTATCAGTTATGGCAGCATGTGACTTCTGAGTTCTTCCCCAGAGTCAAAATGACCATGAAAGTTAAACATTTTAAATTGATTCAAGACATTGAGCAGCCTTAACAGTACAACTGAAGACCTGAAAAAAGACTTTCAGAATTGCTTCAGAAACTGGCAAGAATGACGGGATAAGTGTGTTTCTCGTGGGGGCATGTTCTGAAGAGAATTAATGACAATTTGTCTTTTACTTTAATAATTTTTTAAAAAATTTAAAATACCATGTTTTTCAATCCCATCTTTTATGGTGACAGTCCATTTCATGAAAAAAGTAGTGTGTACACCAGTTAAAAGTACCTGTCTAGAGGGCTGGGCCATGTAATTTAGTGGTAGAGCGCTCAGTGAAAGCCTTGGGTTTTATTCCCACCACCAACAGAAGAAAGAAGTATAGGCTTAAAACCTAACTATAGTTAAATTACAGACGGGAAACCTTCAGCAGCTTATTTATCTCCCTCTCAATTTCTGTATATATCTAATGGAATATTAATAATAGTACTTCCCTTACAGATTTGCTCTGAGGATCAGTTAATATATATTTTAAAAATGCTTGGTTCATTGTGTATTACAAATGTGCTAATTTTAGAAAAGTGTTGCCTAGTAGCTAGCAAGTACTATGTAAAGTATCATGGTTGTTGCTTAATGTGCCTGTATAAATACATTTATACAGCAATTTGCTGTGTAAAAATTAGTATATATATCCATACTAAATAACAACAAATATTGTGTTTTATTGGTCAACTATATGGTTATATTAGGGGTATCATTAGAAACAGTTTTTGCTTTGAAGTCACTGAAGGAAATAGTTTTACATAATTCAGAAACCTCCTTGAATAAAATATAATCTTGGTTATTCTGAATAAGCTGGTTAAGAATCATATGAGAATATTTGGAGTATAGTGATTAAGTGACATCCTCACATATAAGGCGCTAAAATTGTGGAAAATGTTGCCCATATCTAATTTTCTTACTCTGCCTAAGTGAATGGGTTCATTTCTTCTCTTCCCCCTTTGCCACTCCTGTAACATCATGTCTTTTCAGACAATACGAATGCCTTTACAGAGTCTGATCATAATATAGCCCAAACAGATTGTCACCTGTGTTTATGTGACATAATTGGCTTGGCTGCCCTGTAGAGTTGATGGGAAAGAATCTCAGTATAAATCTTTATTCACTGTGCTTGACATCTAGTAAAGTCCAATAAATTTAATAGATAAGTGACTCCTCTCCTTGAGACCTTTAGCATTTTTGTGGCTCCTGGTTTATTAACCATGTTGTAAAAATGCTATAAACATATTTATAAATATAAGAGATTGTTTGTGCCATGTAATTAGGAGAACAACAGTCCAGTATTGGTGGTAGCACTGTTTCATTGTTTCCATTTGTGGCCAGCAAAAATTGTGTCTGTCAGAGTTAGCTCAATGGAGATAACCAGGAGACTGTTGCTATAGTTGTGGCCCATGCTAGGTTTCTGGGATATCAACTTTGCCTCTTGTGGTTTTTTCCTCTAAATTAGCTCTTCTGTGTGGCATCCCTCATTGGGGTCCCCCATTTACTCCATTCTTCTGCTATACCTTTCTGTCTATTGCTTCTCTGTTACTTAGACTTTTAGGGGATTTTCTTTGCTGTGGGGCATGAAGGTTGGATGATGATAAGCCTTGGGCACTAGATCACAGTTCCCACTTTAGCTCCAGATAGAGGTTACTTATACATCTGGTGTATCTTGAAGCTCAAGAGTAGGACAAACACAATAAGATCTGAGTGAACCCAAAGGTCAAAGCTTAACTTTATTGGAACCAGTAGCAATATTCATGTCTGGAACTGTGAAACAATTCAGGAGATGTTGGAGCTGGATCGCGTTTTAAGATTGTTACAGCTTTCCATTTTAGACCTGTATGTGACCTCTTACACGCCCAATTAATTGAAAAGAGCAAGTTTCTAACATGAAGAACATGATATATAGTAAAAAGTATAATTCTGCTTTAAGAGTTTTGCAAACCCCAAAATAATAAATGACACTTTTATTATTAACTTTTATCTTTACTTGAGATGCAATATAGATTGTAGAGAAGCTAAATGACACCAAGTCATATAATGAGCCTCTGTGAGAACTAAAAATAGGAATCAGTACTCCCAGTTGTACTATTGCCACCAAATAGACATTTGCTTTTAAGCTCTTATGTGGCTACCATTGGAAGATTTTTTTAGTCACTGAGTTTATGTTCAGTTACGTGTTTGGAACTTTAATTCCACATGTGTTTGAGTTCTCACAAGTGGAGAATTGTCATTCTGATTTTCTAGTCTTCTTTCTTCTCCTATTACTAAATAAAAAGATAATTTGTTGACCTGCATGCTATGCCCTACCTCTTCCTACTGATCTGTAAGCTTTTCCATTGGCTTTCTTTCTGTTTCCTGCTGCTTTCTTGCTTCATAATTGAAGGGAGGATTCAGACCCATCCAGGTAACAAACTACTGGTTCTGCATGGTCTCCTTATTACTCTATCATCTTATATTATTGCAATGAGATGAAGTGGATTTTTTTACTGCTGAATAAATACTTTCATGTTGGAAATACATTATTGGTATGTTGTTTCAAGGCTTTTAAGCTTGCATGGAGAACCATAAATGACTAGGGGTACTGTTTGCCATTGAAGAGATTTTCAGCTCTGCTTATTCAACACAATTCTTAGGCTTGTCTAGATTCTTTACTTTTATTGGAATTTGTGCTAGAAAGCAAGACTGGAGTCAGTTTAGAATGGAGTTGTACAACCTTTTTGAAAAAGAAAGCTTAGTTCAGTACATGCCAACCCTACAGATGGTTTTAATTTAGCCTGATGGACTGGTATAAAAATTTTTTTGTTCAGAACGTGGGGAGTAGCTCCGTGGTAGAGTGCTTGCCTAGTGTGCATGAGGCCCTGGCACTAGGAAAGAAAGAAAGTAAAAAGAAAGGGGGGAGGAATGAGGGAATTTTAATGTTCACATAGATTTCTTGTTCTTCTACATATTTTATAAAGAATTTGAGTAGTAGTTTTTTCAGGGTCTACTTTTAATTTTTAATGAGTTGATAATGAGCCACTGCCTCTTTATAAAAGAGTTCATGCTTTTATACAGCAGAACAGCTTTTGAAGAAACACTAGGTACCCCTTTTCTTATATTTATTATACATTTTAAATTAGATGATTATGGCGTAGGACTTGTATTTTCAAATAGCTGAGGCTTAAAAGTTGAGACTGCCCTACTGTTTTCAAATGTGTGGATACATTGATGAGAACTTGACTTCGTGTGGTATATTTTGTGATCCAGCCATTAGGCAACTTACTCTCTTTTCATGTATATTTGTAATTCAGATTGATTTGATTTTTATTTGTAGAAAAAAGAATACTAAAGATAGTAAAATGTATATGTTCCCCTTTGTTTAAAAAAAATTCTTTCTCCCCTTCCCAGTTTTTCCAGAGGCCTCAAATACAGCCTCCTAGAGCCACCATCCCAAACAGCAGTCCTTCCATTCGTCCTGGTGCACAGACCCCCACTGCAGTGTATCAGGCCAATCAGCACATCATGATGGTTAACCATCTGCCCATGCCGTACCCAGTGCCCCAGGGTCCTCAGTACTGTATACCACAGGTAATGTATCTCTCAGGCCTGGGTGGTTCAGCAGTCCAGTGGGAGTTAATTTAGATTCTCATCAGAGGGAGCAGGGAGACTGGGTAATGCAGTGGTTTTGGTAATGTGTGAACTTTTTAATTGGTTATAAGTCTAGTCATTTTATCGTTTTCCATAAAACTGTAAGGAGATGTTTATATATTTCCTTGCTGAAATATTTTTAAGGTGGTAGAGAAATTGTTTGTCTCCTAGCTTTCCCCTGTCTCTTCCCCACAACCAACTACTCTAAAATGGACTCAGTAATTATGCTGTTCCTGTGATGTCATTGAAAGCTGCCAACCTGAAGTCATTTTAGTGTGGTGATGACTGCTTGTGCTGGTTTGCTGTATGGCTTTACCTAGGGCACACCTTTCTCTTCATCCTTTTTGCATTTGGGTGACAAGCAAGCGTTTTGATATTTAACCAACTACACCTTCATCTCCTTTGAATAATCTCTGTGACACACACAGAGTACTTCGTTTTTCTATAATAAGCTGCCTTTGTATCATGTATAAAGGTCTATACTTTCTCTCTTCTAGTACCGTCATAGTGGTCCTCCTTATGTTGGGCCCCCACAGCAGTATCCAGTTCAACCACCGGGACCAGGTCCTTTTTATCCTGGACCAGGACCAGGGGACTTCCCCAATGCATATGGTAAGTAGGAAAAGCCAAGCAATTTTTGCTAGTTTGTTGTGTTCGTTTTCTTTGGTGGGTTAGTTAAGCATTGAAGCTTAATGGTTGGAAGGATTTTTAAAAATAAAATCTTGCAAATTATTCTGTCTTAAAGGCTACATTTTTAGAGAGTGGCTTACAAGGAAAGAGTATTGTAGGAATAAATTTAGCTCATGACACTTTCTGAAAGAGCTGATGTTCTACTGGAAACAGCCCATGTGTCCTGACATCTGCTGCCAACTCACTGTTACCTAGAATTTTACCAGACTTTGATGATGGTATAAATATACCTGCTTTGATTTTGTGTTCTCTAATCATTTACCCTTACCTTATATCTAAGAGTTTTACATTGGTCAGTCTTCCATTGCTGGGAGAAAATAGTTGATACCCATAATTTAAAGGAGAGGTTTGTTTGACTCAGCATTTCAGAGAGCTCAGTTCATGCCTGGTTGGCTAACTCAAAGCAGAAACATCATGGTGGAAGGGCTTGGTCAAAGATGCTGCTCACATCATGGGAGCACAAGGCCAGAGTGCCACCAGGAGATACACCCTTCAAATGCACGCTGGCAGCGACCTCCAACTGGGCCCCACCTCCTAACACTGCATTCAGCTGTGATCATCAGGGGATTAATCCAGTGATGAGTATAGCACCCACATGATCCAATCACCTTTTCAGGAGACTCTTACTCCATTCAAATTGATAATCAAGTACTGTCTCAGTTTTGTTAATACCATCTTTCCCACTGAGATGTAATATCCACAAAAGCAGAGATTTTAGTTTGTATTTTTACTTCTATATTGAGAACAGTGATGGGCAGGCATTTGGATTATCTGCAGTAACTGAATGTAACTCGATGAATCTGTGATTCCTATGCTGCAAAAGATTTTTTGAGGGAAAATTTTTCCCTCAATTTTTACTTTTTTATTGGTGTACATATTTGTAGTACATAATGATTACATTTCTCATGGGGAGTTGGTACATGTACAGAACACATCTTAATTCTTTTTCATTATTCCTCCCATCTGCTAGCCCCCTTACCTTTTGCAAAAGATCCTTCTCCCTTTTCCTATTATCTGTCTTTTATTTTGTTCTTCATCTATATTTGAATTTCTCATGTGATACTTAATGTTGTGTGTCTATTTAATTTCACTTAACATTATGGTCTCAAGATGCATCCATCTTTGGAACTGTGGTAAGATGTATATCCGGAGAAATTTGGGGGATTAGTGGAAGTGAATTGTAGTGTACTATTTTCTTACAGATTTTTTTGGTGCTAGGCACCTGTTGTGTGGTCTTCTGTGGACAGTGTGGGGGTGATGATTTCAAGATGACTCAAAGGAGCACATAAAGATCCCTCAATTGTGCAGTTCATGGTAGGGTTCTACTGCTATGAGATTTTAATGTTTGCCGCTGATTGGCAACATTATGATGAGGCGGTGCTTAAGAGGTAATGAGAGCAGTGAGGAGTGGCTGTAAAAACAGATGAAGCTTTGCTTGCTCACCTGTCTGTCTCCTGTTACGTCCTGCTGTGTGACCTGGTTCCTAAAAGGACTGGTACTGGTCTATGCTTCTGGGGACTCCTGATGTAAACAAACTTTTGACTCAGAAAATGATCTCATTGAGTACTATAAATCTGGGCTGGGGATTTAGCTCAGTGGCACAGCACCTGCCTGGCAAGCGCGAGGTCGTGAGTTCTATTCCCAGTACCGGGAAAAAACCCAGAAAAAAACAAAAGAGAACTATAAATCTATGCCAGCCCCCTTTATTGCTCCTAATACCGTTGCACTGTACGTAGAAACTATAGATGAGTTTGCTAGTAGGGAAATGATTTGTAGATTTGAGCATAAAATAGTATAACAGATTTTGGCGTGCTGTAGTTTCATTAGATACAGATATTTTTATTCATTTTTATTAAAAAGCAATGTGTTAAGGTGCAGTAATATAGCTCAGGGATCATTGATGTCTGTACCCTTTGGTAGGGTTTTTAATTTAGTGAATTATTTCTTCAGTGGTCTGGTAGCCACTGAGTAGGGTTTTATCATCTAAATTAAAACACTATTTCCTTAATATTAGAAAATGATCTTACAAATAAGTTTATTTCATTATGAAAGCAACCAAGTTAATGATAAAAAGTTACAGAGAATCCATAAAATCAAAACAGTTTCTCTTCCTTCTGACACTCTATAAAGGTCTAACATTTAACAGTGTCATACATATTTTCCTTTATCTTAAATGAGCACATAACTATTCATAAAATTCTAAATTTTTTTTTTACTTCACAGTATCATCACAGACATGTTTCCATTTTTAACCTCTAAATACCCCCCACCCAGTTTCTTCTAAAAGCTACATAGTATTCCATTTTTTTTTTGAAAGAGTATTTGTATTTTTTATTTGGTGAAACTGAAATGCATAACATTGTAAGTATTCGTGTGTACACACATTTTAAAATATGTTAACATACATTCAAATATGTTGCAAAGTCAACAATTCTAGCTGTAACATAAGTTCTGAAGAAAGGATGTGGAAGAATTTCTCCTTCTGCAAATGAATACACATGATAGCAGAGTGCCATAAATTAGTTTTTGTAGTTATTATTACTTTAAGAATGACAACACAAATTTGTCAGGGATTTTTTTCTTTCTCTCTAAAGATATTTTTGATGTCATGAAAATTGCTGCAGTGTAATTTCAGAAGTTTTAATCACTGTACTTGAATGGACTTTTTCATATTGAAATGTTGTAAAACATTAACTGACTCATTGAATAATTTTCTCTATTACATTATCACTAGGATACATTTTTATCTTATTAGCTTTATAAGAAGTTGCTACTCTAGTCTTACTCTGTGTAGTGGTGCATGTATAATTTCATAGCCATCTATAGTTTCCACAGATTTTTTTATCCTATGCCACTATAAGAGAATTCTTTAACATTAAATATGCAGATAAGGATTCTGAGTGCTTCATTACTTTATAAACAGTGAACAGTGGACTTTCAATGAATATTCTGAGACCACAGAAAAAGGCATTTTCCATATAAAAATCAATTTTTAAAGTTTTTTCTTTGCCTATTCATTTTTAAAATTTTTATTATTTTGTATTAAAGAGAAAAAAACAGGCCGGTGTAATGACACACACCTGTAATCCCATCACTCGGAAGGCTGAGGCAGGAGGATCACCATGAGTTCGAGGCCCCCTGGGCTACAAAGTAAATTGAAGGCCAGTGTGAACTGCATAGTGAAACCGTGTGTCTCAAACAAAACAAAACAAAACAAAACAAAACAAAAAACCACTAGAATTTCAAAACAAGATCATACTGATAAGTGAAATCAACTCGCATGTGTAGACCTCATATTGTCTCCCTAGTGTAAGAAAATGAAAAAATAAATAAGACCCCAAATCTGCGATAGATACTGTGAAAGAGAAAGAAACAGCTCAAAAGGAAAGAACAACTGGGATGGATGAAAGGAGAAGGAAGAGAAAAAAAACTACATATGTATATATAATGTGTACATAAGGTAGATAGGATAGTTATGCTACTGACTTCTTTTAGTTCATCAAAAAAATGGTCTGTGCCTGTATCTTGTAATCTGAGCAGCTACTTTGAAGGTAACAATATGCGATATAGTAGTATTCCATTCTTTTGAGTGAATCAGTAATTATCTAATCTTCTATTGATGGGAGTTTAATATGCTTTTATCATAATGAAACATTCTGGTCCAGTAGTTCCTATCTTTTTCTTTTTTAAGTTTTCCTCAATTATTGGTCTATCAACTATACCATCTTGAGGCAGCTGTCCGAGTCCTGCCATCCAGTTGCCATAAACATTTCCCTTCCTATTCTTGGAATCTCTCCTTGGAATCTCTCCTTTCTTCTCCCAGACTTAATTTTCTTCTCTTGTCTCTTCTTCCCTAACTGGGGCTCAGGTTAAGTAGTAGATGTGGAGATAGGATCATACTTTGTGCTCATGCAGGAATACTCTTCTGGAGCAGAAGACCATCCTCTGGCAGAATCAGGTAATGCAGCCTAAGACTTACTCATTCTTGCCCTTCTGCTGGAGTTTATAAATTGCATAATGTTTTCTCAGAGTTACTTTGTTCTCCATTTTTAGCTTTATAGTTCAGTCCAGCTTACTGCCATTTTAGTCCCAAAGCTAGTTTAATTCTTAAATGATGATTCTCGAAGAGTATTCTTATCTTCATTAGAGTTCTGTAACTGTGATCATGGAATTCTACTGATAATGTATACTCCTTAAAAGTATTTCTGTACTTAAGGAAATTTTAAGTTTGTGGGGAAAGGGATGTGGTTTATTGTGGTGGTAATGTTGATGGGATGGGGAGATTTAGAATCTGCCAAAGTAAAAGGTCCTATTCAGCATTTCTTTAAACCAGTACACTCTTCTTTCTTCTAACTATACTGTATGATTTCCTCTTCCTTTCTCCATCTTTTCACTTTTTTCCTGAGCCTCCATGGGGCTTGAGTATCTCATTCAGCTCATAAGAGATCAGTAAGTCATTGTACCTACTGTGTGATATGGAGGTGGGAAACTTTGACATCCCAAATTGAGTTAAATTTGTTTTCCTGGAGATGTAATCTCATATTTGGTGATGTGATTATATGCTGAGATAACTGTTCTGAGTATATTGTAAGACAAATGATTTTTCTGTGTCAACCTAAATATTTAATTTCTATGTTTGTGTCTATAGAAAAAAAAAAATCAAATTCTTTGACATCTTTTAGAAGATCTGAAACATTGCACAAGGTATCTTGTGGAATGCAGATGTTAAAAAAATTTCCCTCCCTTTCAGGATATTAAATACATTTGTTTGAAGCTGGGCATGGTGGTGCATGCCTGTAATCCCAGCACTTGAGAGGCTGAGGCAGGAGGATCACCATAAATTTGAGGCCAGCCTGGACTATGTAGTGAGTTCAAGGTCAGCCTGAACTGTGAAGTGAGACACTCTTTCAAAAAACAGAAACAAAAATAAAAAAAATTTCTTTGTTTGAAAGTTATGGTTGGATAATATGTGTTATGTACATGTACCAACTCCCCACAAGGAGAAATGTACTGCATACATGCACTAACAGAAATTAAAATTAACAGCCAACTAAAAGAAAGTTATGGTTGAGATTTACAGATGAGAAGAAATCTAAATATTAACTGCACCAGTAGTTCCTAGATCTTTTAATATTAAAGACAAGTAAAATGAAGAAAAAGTAAAAGTGAAATAAGAAGAAACTCACAAGATTCTATTTCTAATTTGATCAATAAAATCATTAGAGAAAACTGCTATTTACTGTCAGTATTAGTTCATATAAGAGACCTTTTTTGAAAAAAAAAAAAGACATAAGAGTAGGATAATGTAATTTTTATAATAGGAACAGTTCATTATAAAATTTTCAAGTTGGGATACCTGGAAGTATGTATGTATATTTCATGATTATTGTCTTAAATTTTGCCATATATCTTCTATGCTTTTTATATAAATTGGGATTCTGAAACCACTGATGTAGAACTGGATCAGCTGTTTTTCCATAAATATGAGATAACAAATATCTCAGGCTTTTCAGGCCTTGTGGTTCAGCTATTCAACTCTGCCACTGTAGTGTAAAAGTAGCCATTGACAGTAGGTAAACTCTATGGGGATGTTTTATAGGAAAACTTCATGTAGAAAATAAACAGTGGATAGATTTGGCCATTAGATTGCAGTTGACAGACCTCCTTTTTCTAAATAAACTAATTGATTCCTTGTATAAGAGGCCTGAGTTCCAGAGATACTCACTCTTAACTGAAAAATGATAGCCAAAGTTTACATTTTAATAGACTAAAAATGAGGTTTATTCAGCAACTATTTATTGGCTATATATGATTTACCAGATTATCCCAATTATGGTACAAACAAACAAAACAAAAACAAAAAAACAAACCAATTATGGTAATTAAAAAATAGTTCATGAGAACAATGTGACCCTCTCCCCCCCATGAAGATAGTTCACTTTTTGGATCTTATTTCGCTGGACTTGAAAAATATAGTAAGATGAGGAGATAATGTTGCTTGTCTAGCAGCATTTGAAACCAATTTAGGGGTATGTTTTCTGAGTTTTAAGAACTAATGACATAATAAGGTAGCATAGAATTGCCAATTTGAGCTGTACTTTGAGAATAGTTTAGTTACTGCTAGAGGACATCTGAGGTTTTTCTTTTTGCTTTTTATATTGAACTTACTGAAATCCTGTTCCTACCCTTATTCAAAACTGGATTCTCTAAACCTGGTTGCTAACTGCAGAGTTCTAGTCCTACAAATCATACTGCTTCCCAGAAATTTCCTTTTGAAGATTTTGACGACTATAGTGGAGATGTTAGTAGTGACAGTGATGATAAAACCAACATTCATTTTATTTTTATTAGAACCAAGGGTTTTTATCTGTGTTAACAACTTTGTACACGTTTCTTCTTGTCATTAATCGGTGTGCATTAGATCCTGTCATGTACCTACTTAAGGATATTAAATTAACAATTCCTTTTTTCCTACATTGTCATTTTTTTAAACTTCTATTTCTAGAGTAGTCCTATTACTATAGTATAAAATCATGTTGATCTCTTCCCCATATTTCTAAAAAAATTTTTTTGCACTCCATATTCTTATCCATTTACAGCTCTCTCCAGTTTCCCTTTTCACAGCAAAGGTTTTAAGAAAAGGAGTTATCTATCCTCACTGACTTCACTTTTTTCCTTTACTTTTACCACTCATTGTACTTGAATGAGGCTATACCTCCCACTTTCTTACCCAAGTACTTTTGTCAAGATCATTAATGATTTCTACTTTGACAAATCTTAGTTGACCTCTCAGCACCATGGGACATGTTAAATACTTCTCAGTCTTGAACAGTTTTCTTCACCAATTTCCTTAGTCGTCTTTTCTGTCTCCTTTGCTGGACTTTCCTCCTTTCTGTGACTTCTAAAAGGATTTCATCCTTGAGTTCTTTTCTTATTTACTGAGTTGTCCTCGTGGTTTAGATTCTCTTCATATTCTACCAGTTCCAAAATGGAAAACTGTAGCCCATACCTATCCTGTGACTCTAGTTTTATGCCTCCTTCTACTGGGGCTTCAACTCAGCGCTTGGGGCTTGCTAGGCAAGCATGCTACTTCTGAGGTACATCTCAAGCTCTGACTCTGTTTAGTCTGATTTACATTGCTGTACTCGGAGGATAGGAATAAAAGTAGATTATAGGTTGAACAAAGGTCGAACAAAGGTGCATTTTTCTAAGTGGTAGAAAAATATAGTTTGGAACTTGGATCTTAATACCTGAACTTTGTCTATAGGCTGCGTTTTCTTTTTGTTTTTGTTTTTTCTAACGCCAACATCAAGGTATTTATCCAGACTTTTACAGTTGCTCCTTGTGACAGTGACTATCCATAAGTAAGAATTATCAGAAAGCCTACCCCAGGATGGTGAGAACTGTTCTCCCTCCTGCCTGTGACCGAAACCTTACACACACAGACTTAGATAAATTAGTTCCTGTTTGAGAATTACTAGGGCAGGTATTGGGCCCCTAAAATACAGCTTTAAAAGTAGCCCTATAGTATACCTTGTGTTTTCTAAAGATCTCTCATTTCAGCCTGCAGGAATTATTTAGTTGTTTTCATATTGAATGTGTATGAATGCTTAAAGACATTGCATACTTTGGGAATAATTCTTGACCATGACCACTTTAGTAGCTGGAAGAGAGCATGTGGAAGGAGAGAAAAAGAAAACTTAAGATTTTTTTTTGTACTTTTTTGAAAGGATTATCTAGATGCGTGGTACCATTGATAACTTGTAATGTTTGACAAATTAACACTTCATTTTTTTCTAATTCTTCAGGAACGCCTTTTTACCCAAGTCAGCCAGTGTATCAGTCTGCACCTATCATAGTGCCTACGCAGCAACAGCCCCCTCCAGCTAAGAGAGAGAAAAAAACTGTAAGAGATATTTATTTTTCTTATTTTAAATTGGGAAGTCTATTCACTTATTAAATTGAATTGTTGTTTATCCAGTTCTTACTCATCTCAATTTACAGTTGACTGTGCCATTTTTTATTCTCCATTCTATCCCCACCCCTCAACTTGACCTGGAAGATTTTTATGGTCATATAACTAGAAGTTGTAGTTAATATCTGCTTTCCCTGTTCATTGGACTGGGTGTGCTACATGACAACATGCATTCCAGCTTTGGGGCTAGGAGGGTTTAGAGTGCCAAGATCTCATTCATTGGCATAAATTTCAGTTCAGTTCTTACATCCTGACTTTCCTTTACCACCAGACCTAATCAACTCTCCATTCAAGTCTGAACTGACAGAAAAAATATAGCCCAAGAGTAAAAGGAGCCAAAGTTTTGTGGACAACAAGAGAAGAAATTTTTACTTTTGAAACAGATTTAAAAACAGAAAGCAAGCCTGAGATGGTGGCATATACATGTAATCCCAGTGTTTAGGAGACTGAGACAGGAGGATCACAAGTTCTAGGCTGGCCTGAGTTACATACCAGGATCCTTTCCCCAAAAATAAAATAACCAGAAAGCAAACTTTAGAAATGTACTCTGTTTTAATTAAGTTACAGGGGTTTGACCTCTGACCAAGAAAGGCAAGCCCAAGAGAATTAAGAGTACACATAGTAATACGAAATTCAAAGTGCAGAACATTTTGTACAAGAGTGGCTTGCTGTCACTTCCATCAGAACACAGAAAATGGGTGAAGTTTGAAATGAAGAGACTCATGTTCACACAAGTGAGGCAGGTGGGAGTGGCATTATCAAATACTCTACTAAAAATTAATGATACTCAAAACCTGGGACTTTGTTAATTAGAAAATTCCTTGTGTTCATGTCACAATAAACAGGATGTGCTAGAGTATCATGACCCTACAGTCAACAAACTATGCTTTAGAAATATTGAATCAGCATTGTAGAATTTGAACTTGAACACTTTTTACAGTGCAGAAAATGAGTAAAGGTGACAATGAAAGTGGAAGACAGTAATGATAGGTATTACTGAAGGTTGTAAAAACAAACTTCCATACCTGAGAAAGTAGCTGATACGGAAATTCTTATTGAAGAATTGCTCCTTTGTAAGCTTCCAGATCCAGGTGGCATTATTAATGAATACTCTGAAATTCCCAAGAAGCCAAAGGTACACTATTTAAGCTGTGTTGATAATGAACAACAGAAGGGGCCCTTCATGCCTCAGCACTGTCTCATACCTAGATCCAGGCACTGCCATCTTCAGTCTCGCTCCATCCTCGCTGATGTCTGTAAGCACAGATACCCTTAAAAAAGAGAAGACTATATACTTGTGTATCTTTCTTTTTTTTTCACTTGTCAATTCATTGTGATTACCATTCCATATCAGGACATGTAGACCTGCCTCATTCTTTTTACTGGCTGTTTGGTATTTAATTGTACAGAAATAGAGTAATTTTTGAACTATTCTGTTCTTGACTGACGTTTATGATGTTTCTGTGCCTTTCATGAAAAGAACAGTACTGCAGTGAGCATCCTTATATACGTACTTGTATATTAATTTATTTGCAGGGTATATTTCTATTCCTAAATCATTATATATGTACATTGCTAATTTTGTAAGAAAACCTTGAGAACCATATAGAACATTTAAAACTGCATTCTATATAACTTCCATGTATTAAAACTATTTTATGAACCTTAAGTGCTATCCATAAAATCAATTTATCAATCTTAATAAGTACAATTTTTTTTTGCCTTTTGGACTTAGAATTTTAGTCTATTACATCCATTTTACTTATTATTCTAATTACCTCATGTCAAAGCTAATGGCCTAAAATTTTTTGAATGACTCTATGTGGCTCTGTGATTACAAGAACATCAAATATGATTATCAACTTTATGTTTCTTAGTTTGCACCTTTAACTTATCATATGCCTATAAATCTTGTACATAGCTGACCCTCCGTACATTTGTCATTTTTCTTAATTGTGTAGATAAGAATTCGAGATCCAAACCAGGGAGGTAAAGACATAACTGAGGAGATTATGTCTGGAGGTGGCAGCAGAAACCCCACTCCACCCATAGGAAGACCTACATCCACACCTACTCCTCCCCAGGTAAGAGTGAGCCATGATGAATGATGGTCTGTATTTGTTCACTGACTTCTACTGAACTCTCCTTTTTTTCCATAGCTACTTCCGTACTTCCCATTTGCATCAGTTGTCTCATAGTCTTGAGTATCTAAAGGATATTTCAACAGATGTGTTCTCTTTGCAAATTATTTTAACTCCAAATTTTTGTTGGTAATATTTCTGTGTGGTGTTGTCATATTCAGAGCAGAGCTGCTGCCACTATTCTTAATGTACTGTTGCGTGATACCAAAAGGAGCTACATTCCTGTGGATAGTCATCATTAAATGAGTGTTCTATGTCTTTAGTGTAGAACCCGCAGAATTAAATATTGCACACTATATTAGTGTAATTAAAGTTCAGAATTTGAAATGTTTCTTGAGATCATTGCCTGTGTTATTGAGAGAGTATCTGAATGTATAATAGGGTGTACTTTTTACATTTTAAGACTACTTAACTGAACTTCTTGAAAGGAAAGTATTTTCTGTTATTTACCAAGGTTATTGGTAAATTCAGGTGGGCACTTTTTATTCATAGTGAAAAACATGGTTATCGTGGTTTCCCAAGAGTTCACTTTCTTGTCTTTAGAAATCAAGACATTCTAGGCGGAGCTGAAGTTTAGTAAACTGTAGTAGAAAATAGTACCCCTTAAGGTTTTGACAAGTTTTTACTGCATTCTGGGTCACTTTAAATTTACCAAAACTGGGGGCTGGGGAGTTAGCTCAGTGGCACAGCGCCTGCCTGGCAAGTGCAAGGTCGTGAGTTCGATTCCTGGTACCGGGAGTGGGGGGAAATTTACCAAAACTTAGAGTTGAATGATTTTCAAATCTTAAAAATTACATAAATTGAGAGCTTAGCATATAAAAATACGTAACAGCAAAATTATTAAAGAGGAGAGTGCTGCTTACTTTTCTAAAAACTTATGGCTGGACTTAAAGTTTGTAAACAAGTGATAGACAGTCATAAGACTTTTTGGAAAAGAGTTTACAAACAAGTGATATAGATGATCAAATATAAGATATCAGAATAATAATCTGTTGACTTGATTTTCATACTAAGGTTAAAAACTGTTCTTAAATATTAAGGTCAAATAGCTAGCTGATTTTTTTTTTTTTAGAGCCCCTTGAAAACTAAAAGAGTTTTCTTAAGACTTGGTTCTTTGTTGTAACGAGTTATTTTTCATTTGAAAATGATGATAGTCTCACATTGAAGTGATGTGTGTTTCAATCTGTCTGTCCAGAGAATGTAACATGTGGCCATGTAGATAACATGAATTGTTAAGATCGATTAATAATTGTTAAAGAACTCTTCACCATCCCCCATTACGCAGGGGCGTTCCCAGTCTGAAAGATTAAGAAGGTCTTACATGCATTCTCTTACCTGGAAGTCATCCTGGGACAGGCAAAATTTCCAAATTAAAATTATCTCTTTAGGTGCTCTGTTAGTTAGGGATGTACTATGGCAAAAATTTGGGATCAGTTGATTAGAGCAGTCACATTTTAGTCTATTTCTCAAGCATTAATTAAAATACTATTGTCTAGAGATACAGTTAAGTTTCTTTGTCAGTTTTTGTTTAGTGTCTCAACTTGAACATGTATATGTATTTTTGCACTTTAGTTTTGGGGAGGTGTTTGTTTTGTTTTTGTTTCATTAATCTTCCAAGTTGATCTTAACCTGCTTCTGGTTATCTGTCATCCTTCAAAGAAACCTTTTGCTTTGTATCTTTTCCCAGGCACCATGGGCCTAAAAATGAGATGAGTGTATGTGTCTAAGTAATTATAAAATGCAGAAAATGTACACTTCTAAACAGATAAAGGCCCTTAGTCAATAGTTATAATGTAGGTACTTCTCTGTAAGAATTGTAATATCTCCTATGAAGCATAAGTTCATTTTATTGGGTGATTTGCATTTAAATCGACACTTCAAAATGTGTTTTCTTTTTTTTTTTTATTTTAAAGATAAAAGGAGGGAAACATTAACAGACATACAACATTTTACATCATATCACAAGCACAATACAGACAATACAGAGTTACAAACAAAGTGGTAGGGAATTAACAGTGGTGGTTGTATTACATATTGATATCTTCAAAGTGGCTTCTCATGAAAACAGATATAGACATACAATACTGGTCAACCAAATCAAAATGTGTTTTCTTTTCAAAGGCACAAAATTCATGGAAGGATGAAATATCTTTTTAAGAGACACATATACTAAAAAAATTTCAGAAAAACAATAGCACAATTGTGATAATAAGAAATGATATTTTCTGGAAAATCATACAAAGTGGTGCAGAGATAGAAAGAAGGTGACCCTGGTTAATAGAAATGATCATTCCTGACATAAAATTTACATAAAATTACATAAACTGTTATTTCAAAAGAAGTTAGAAATCTTTGGTTATGCTAAAAAAGAAAACTGAAATTTTTAAATGTTGGTAGCTAATCCATTAATAAATACTATGGTGGCAGCCAAGGAAAACCCACTAGATTTAGCAAAGGGCTACTAATTTGCAGTTTCAGTGTAATTCGAGATACATACTGAACCATGTTTTGGCAGAAATCTGCTGTTGAAATGCCCCTCTGTATCAGAATTTAGTACCGAATAATACTAGTCTTACAAGGTACCTGCTTTTAGTAAGACACAATTGCATGTGCTGTATATATAGCAAAGCCCTTCCCTACCATTGAAGAGATACTATCTTGGTATCTTTAAGGGAGACAAAGAACCATTTACCTGAATGTGCACACAGTGGCAGTGTCTCAGTTAAGAAAACAAGTGATCTACCACTGAGCTACATCCCCAGCTCCCACTTACTAGTATCTAACTATTCTTCCTGCGCTATGTGTACAGTCATGAAATTCCAGAGGTGACTGAGCCAGGGTGGAATTGCAGCACAGCTGCAAAAGTGACAGATTAGCTGGGTATGGTGGTGTATACCTATAGTACCAGCACTCTGGGAGGCTGAGGCAGAAAGATTGCAAGTTTGAGACCAACTTGGATAATTTAGTGAATTAGCAAGTCCCTGTTTCAAAAATTAAAAAAAAAATTTAAAGGTTCATGCAAATGTCCTGGGTTTAGTACCCAGTTAACCTGCTGTACACACACACACACACACACACACACACACACAAAAGTGACAGCTCACAGAGACTCATCAGTAGTGGTATAGATGAGATTATAGTGTATAAGAAATATAAAGGATAAGGGGCTGGGGATTTAGCTCAGCGGCAAAAGCGCCTGCCTGGCAAGCGCAAGGTCGTGAGTTCGGTTCCCGGTACCGGAGAAAAACCAAAAAAAAAAAAAGAAATATAAAGGAGAAACAAACATCTGAGGTAACCCTTCAAGCTTAAATGCCTAGATTTATAGAAGACATAACTTAGAATATACATAGAGCAATTTGAAGAGTGGCGTAATGACTTTGATTTAGGCAAGCAAACAAGCTGTTTTGATTTTTTTCTAGTTTAGTCTTGAGGTCTCTTTGTCACGAGTGGCTATAAATCAAGATAACCAATCTCCAAGGGAACCCTGACCAGGGACAGGTCAGGTCTGGGTATGTGGGTCGGTGAAACCCAATTAAGAAGTGAAACCCCCCAAAATGAAACAAAATTTAATTTATTACTTACACATCCTTTAGAGGCAAGGGTTCCTGTCAGGAGGCCTGTGGGAATTCTAGAAGCATCAGGAATGTCAACTAGTGGGTAGGAACAGAAAGACAAAAAGGGAAGAAGATCAGGAGACTGTGTCTTTATTATTGTTCATGGGTGTTTTCCCTTTGGCTTTCCTATGGGCTTACAGGTTGGCAGATGTAAAGGAAATACTCCTGAAGGGAGAACTTGTTTCTAATATTAACCAGTATGTTTTAATATGATCACCAGCTTTAGGCATGTGTTGGGTTTGGGTAAAATATGGGAAGCAAGTAGTCTATGTCAGGAGCAGTCACACAGGAAAGTTTTCACTAGGCAAAGTGAAAGTATAAATGGATTCTATATAACTTATGTCGGGGGTAAAGATGGATGCTAAGGCATCAACGATATTAAATATATTTATGACACAAACTAAGAGCTCATTGTAGGAAACTACATTTGGGTTATATAGTTTAGGAAAATACCCCTTTGTCTACATTTTTGCTTATTTGATAGATTACAAAAAATACTTCATTTAATTTTCACTTACTGATTTATGAAGTTAAGAATTTTTATGTTCACTATCTGTGTGAATTATTTACTTAAGCCTTCTGTACACATTTCTTTTGGGATGATATATAAGAGCTCTTTATATGTTGAAGAAATCCCGTTGACATACATCTTAGTCTGTGTTTTTGTGGCTATAACAGAATACCATAGACTGAGTAACTTAGAAACAATGGAAGTGTGGAGGCTATAGTCTCTGGCTAATGAGGGCCTTCATGCTGCATCCTCCTGTGATACCAGGCAGAAGGGCAAGAGAAGGTGAGAACAAGGGTGAAATAAAGGACGGCACTTTCTTTCATAACAGATCTGCTCTTGTGATGACTAACCTACTTCCACAATAACATGAATCCTTTCATGAGAGCAGAGCCCTTAGGACCTAGACACCTCTTAGTAGTCCCTACCCCTCTATATTGTTGCCTTGGGGATTGAGTTTCCAAAACTGAACTTTATGTGATTCTTTCAAACCATAGCAGAATATTAGCATGTCTTTCTTAATGATTGTGTTTTAACTTTGTTAGTAAACTTTGTTAGTAGTGCCTTCTGTCACGTAGAGTTTTTACATTCACATATGTCTGTCTTTTCTTAAATAATTTCTGTTTGGGGGTTTTCGTTTGGTGGTTGTGGTGGGTTTTGTTTTGTTTTGTTTTGTTGAGACAAGGTCCTGCTATGTAGTTTAGACTGGCCTTGAACTCATGGTGATCCTCCTGACTTAGCCTCTCAAATGCTGGAATTATAAGCTACTATGCTTGGCTGGGGGTTTATACTTTGAAAGTCTTTCCCATCCACGATAATAA